GTAAATTGCTTGTGGCTTGTGTGATCCTCATCTTGTGTTGGTTGTGCGGCACCCTATTGAGGGTTTGGCGAGTGGTGCCAATCTGCGCGTGAACCTCCAAGTGAGTGAATCGCCACAACGAGGACTAGCTTTCTGGCAAGCAAGTGAACCTTGGTAAAAATCATTGTGTTCATCATTTGATTCCGAGGTGATTGGTCTACATTGGTATTCATTATTGTGATTGATTGGTTCCTACCACTACACGGCGGTATAACTCTCTTGCTCACTCTTATATTACCGCAAACTAGTTATCAAGCTCTTTAGTATAGCTAGTTGTGAGAGCTTGTTTGTTTGATTAGTGTTGCTCTTTAGTTAGTCTTTGAGAGCACACTAATTTAGCTAAGTGTCATAGCTATTGTGTGGACATACACTATTCGAAATAGAATTGTGGTAGGTGGCTTGTATTTTAGTAGGCTAGCGCAACACTCGCTTCACCGCAAAATTGTCTAACATATTTTGTTAAGTGTTGTTGTAGAATTTTATTAGGCTATTAACCCCCCCTCTAGCCATTAGGACCTTTCACTCTTCCGCTGGGGCGCCGAGCACCCTCCGCCGGATCTGCGTCGGATCCACGCCGCCGGCTAGGGAGCGCAGCCACCGCCGTTGGCCAGGGAGGGAGCAGAGGTGCGCCGACCCTCTGCGTGGGGGAGGACGACGCCGTCACGCCATGGAGATAGAGAGGGGAGGGCATCGCGGTTGTGGGGAGAGAGGGGCGGGGCGCCGCCGCTGTGTGGAGAGAGAGTGGAGGCTGGGAGGGAGAGAGTGGAGGGAGGGGTGGCAGGATGGGGAGGGGACAACAGCGGACTCGATGTCAGGCTAGGGAGGGGCGTCGCGCTGGGGAGCGCGCTCGATCTGAGGGAGGGAGGGAGAGACAACTGATTGAGGGAGAAGTGAGTGAAACCCTAACTCCCCTCATGTATATATATAAACCCGATAGTTAGATTGAATATGGGCTTTTTGCTGGGCCTTAGGAATATTAACCGAGGCAAACCTTATAAAAGGGTCTGCCTGCGAAAATAGGGGTAATTTTGGAGGCATGCCTCTTATAAGGCCTACCTTCGTTAATGGAGTTTAGGAGGTGGTTATTTTTGAACCGCCTCGATAAATCGATTTTACGAGGCGGTTGATTGTGACCGACTCGGTTAATAAAAAATGACCGCCTCGGTTAATCACAGGAATTAAGCGAGTGGTTGAAATGCCTGCTCGCCTATGAGTCCCTTTGCCAAACGTCTCGGTTAAGTTTTTTTTGGCGTAGTGACCCTGGCCGGCAGCATGGAGGCAGCGGCGTGGGCGCCCCTGGTGGCATGGAGGCGCGACCCCATCTAATGTCCTCCTCGATTCTTTCTCTGTTTTCCTTGATCCAATTCTTTCTCTGATTTCATCTTCGGCCGATTCATGTATGGATGGAGAAGGAATTGATTTTATGTTGATTTTTGGTGATTGTTAGGGTCATCGACAGAAGAAACAACAAATTTATTGATTTGATTTTATAAGTTGTTGTCTTTCTAGAGTTAGTATGATTTTGGTTTGGATTTGGATCGATGTGGTGGTTTTGATGTAGTCTCGGTTTGGTCCCTTGCACCTTGCTTGCCGATTTAGAAAATCCTTGGTATAGATTTGGGGGACTAGAGGAAATCTAGTTGATTTCAGATTGCGGATGGTTAGAGATGAATGTGGAGGCAAGACGAAAATTTGGGCAGAAATTTTTAGCTTCCATAATGATATTTATAATGGACTACACGCAACAAATTGCTCAAGATTTCAGCTTCTGTTTAATTTAATTTGGTTAGTGGGACTGAACCAAGTTATAATAAAATAGGTTTTATTTCTAATCAAAATTACGGCAAAAACTTGATGGTGAAAACCTCTACTTCTTAAGAAATGAGTCCAGGGCTCAATGATCCATAATTATTATATTTATCATTTATTATGATATTTATATTTATGGAAAAAATAGAGTATTTAGAAAAGGAAAGTGATGTACGTGGAGGACAAAAACCGAAACGGACGCCAACACCATCACCTATCCATGGTCCCATGTACGGCCAGGGCACCGTTGTTTGCCGACACAAGGAATTGAAATCGGAGAAACCAGAGAAAACTATTTGATTCGGATTGCGAACGGAGATAGTTTTCTTGTTCACGTAGTTAGTTAGAGGAGGGCCGGACGAAAAAAATAGGTGGAGAGATACGAACTGAATCGGTAGCCCATGTCCTATTATATTTTTTTCCTTTAATAAAGCATACACGTCACGAGACCCTTTGTTTTCCTTTAATAAAGCATACGCGTAACTTGGTGATACATTTATTTATATTAGACTGGATAACAAATTGCTCAAAAATTTAATTTATAGTTTGATTAGTTGAACTACCAAACCTAGGTTCTAATAAAAATATATTTATTATTAATCAAAACTACATTAATCATTTAGTTGTGTATAGTAACGAATGATGAAGGAGATACTGTGTACGGAAAAGAAAAAAACAGAAAAAGATCCGTTCAAATAACGGACACGGAGAAAGCAGTCTGGAGAAGAAAAGGAAAAGGTTTAGAGGGGGAAAAGCGGTTAAAGGTTGGACGGAAGAAACATATGCCGAAAAAAAGGGAAAAAAGAAGATCGGATGTAGAACGGAAAGAAAAATAACGTGGACAAGAAAACATACTGAGTGTTACTCGGTGATTATGTTGGACGAAAAATTTATTGATGCAGAAATTTTGCCTCTTTAGTTTTAGGGATAGATTTTAGCTTTTCTATAGATATATATATATATATACAGTGTTTGCTATGACTTATATGCATTGTATCTAAGTGTATAGTAAAAGGAACACATTAAAAAAGCCAAAACGTCTTATAAAAAAGTCAAACTTTTTAAGTTTAATTAAATATATATTAAATAATATTAATATGTATTACGTATAACAAGTATTATTAGATTAGTTATGGAATATATTTTTATAATAAACTTATAAAAATTGATATATTTTTTTTATATATTTAGTTAAACTTAAAAAATAACTTCTCGATAGTGGGATGGTAACTTATTTTAGGATGGAGAAAGTATTAAATTGTGAACTTATCACATGGTACTTTATTACTCGGTCCCAAAAAGGTTTTAGGTATAGGACTTTCTTAAATTTGATCTATTTTATAAGAAAGAGTATCAGTATTTATGTTTTTAAAAGATATACTACAAAAATATATTTCATAAACATTTTAATAATGCTTATTCACTCAAAAAAGTTAGTACTTTTTCTATAGAATAGAGGTGGTTAAAACTATAATTGTTTAACTTCTTGGTAAGGCATTCTCTAAGAGTAGACGCGTTGTTTGACATGGCTCCTCCTTAAATTAGTGTTTGAAGGAGCCGGAGCGTTTAAGAAGTCACAAATTTCAGCTTCTCCATATCTTAAAGTGGCTCCAACTTGTCTATTATTCATCAGAAAATGATTTTTTTTTCTCTTTAAAGTGTTTGGTACGAATTTTTGGGCTCATTCACGCAGAAGCTGCCGGTCTGCCACTAGAGTCGAAGCCATGACAGACCAGTCAATTCGCCAGCCCATGGAGTGGTTCCATCTTTAGGCCGAGAAGTAGCACAGTTAAGAGCCAGCCCATGGAGTGGTTTCATCAAAAGAGAACTACAGAGGTTTTTTTTCCCCTTAGAGAGATAATGTTGGTTACACTCACACACACTCAAGACTCAACACACACTGCCAGTACACCACAGTCGCAACGTCTATTCGTCTTGCTGCTGGTGCAGACAACACATACACTAAAAATCAATTGCAGGCAGGTACGTGATTATCCGTTGAATGCGTGTGGCAATGTAATTAAGGTCATTATTACTTGCTTCGTTCTGAAGCCAAGCCAACGAAAGTAAAGTAAGCTGTACTGTAACCGATGATGCTGGATGTAAGGAAAAGCTAGCAGCAGCTCACATGTTCGATCAGTTATTAGCACACAACGTGACAAGGATCTGTTACGCCAACCGAAAGAGAAAGTGGCCTGGCTCTTAACTGAACCGAGATGGATCGTGTGTACTATCTGCTGATACGGTTCGTCCTCGTCAGTCGTCACCAGCAGAAACCAATCAGCTCAACAAGGTAGGTGCGTCGTCCATGCATGCATGCATATGATATTATGGCCGTCCAGGATCGGGTGAATGGACCATTGCAAGAAAGCATGATGATAATCATTGCACATGCTGAGGCTCAAGAGATGCTGTGTACGTGTTCATCATAGAGATACTGCAGCATTGATGCAGTTTTTCTTGAACTGATCTCTGGACGTTGTGTTACCAGCACCAATGGGGCAAACTAAAGTTCGATCAGCTAATCGCAGACAAATAGTTTCCAGATAATGAATGATCACAGGCAAATCTGAATATCCAATTGCCACGAAAACTTGGAGACAGAGAAACTCGGAGTGGCGCGATCCACTTGTTGGCCAAATCTTAGGGCTTGCTCGTCCGCAGACCGCAGCTACTAGCATTTTTTTTCCTTGGCAGACAACAGATCACACATGCCTGCATTTACTCCCAGTCCCCAGAATCACAGATCAGAGAAGAACCATCTTTATAGGTTTTATAGGACAGCAACTCATCACCGATTCACCGTCCAGCTCAAGAACCAAGGCCGATTCAGCTCAACAACAACTGCTCTGTTCCCAAGCAGAGATGAATTGACGTCGTCAGAAAGCAAATTTTTTAAAGAGAAAAGGCACTTTTTTTCGCTGGGCATGATTGATTTTAGCGATGGATAGATAGAAGTAACATTGGGTGTGAACTGTGAAGGAGGTGAATTACATCTATCCATCGTCACAATTATATATTACAGCAAATCTAGGAGGTTACACTTGTTTCCTTCTTCCCGTATATCCTCACTCTGTAGTCTGTACTCTGTAGAATAGAAAGGGTTTCAGAAATCACGAGTCCATATAGAGTCAGGTCTAACTCTAAATTCATCAGACTTTTGGCTCCACGACATTCTTCTTCCTGGTGATGCGGATGTAGCAGAAGATGGCAACGACGATGGCCGCGGCGAGCCCCGCCACTATGATCTTGCCGCCGGCGAACGTCCGGTCGAAGGGTCTGTGGCCGCCGTGGTGCGAGCTCAGCGGCGATCCGGCGAACCTGGACTCCTCCAGCAGGGAGTGCGCGTGCAGGGCGACGGCAGGAGCGGAGTAAGGACCCTCTGCTACGGCTACGCTGCTCATCGCGCCGCCGTCCAGCAGGAGGATGGTGGCGAACGGGCGTGCCATGACCGCGGTCGCGGCCAGCTGGCTGGACACCAAGCAGAAGAGGAAGAACCGAGGCATCGTCTTTCTTCAGATAGATCGCGAGAGAGATCAGAGCTCAAGCGAGATGATCGATGGACGTGTAGGAGTAGGAGAGCTGTGACTGTGACGCAGGAGCCCTCTCACTCGCTAGTAGTGGATGTGGATCCCTTGTTGATGATGTGCTGGGGAGGCCATGGCCATGGCTGGGAGGGCTGTTATATAGGAGATGGCCATGTCAGTTGAGCTTGATCGCTGCCCAATGATCCGTTGGCCGATTAAACAATGGTGGGGGTGTTGGGTTGGGCAGAGGCCGCATGCCCATGCACGCACCCACTCCCACCCTTTATGGATCTTGATTTCTCAGTGCGTGATCAGTCTCCCTCATGGCTGCTGGTGGCTCTAGAAAAATGATTGGATTTGGTGGGACCGAGGGAGGGGCTCGGGGTCGGGGGTGCGTGGCTTCTAGGAATCCATGGGGGCCAGCCGGCACCCGGCACTCGCGCCTCAGCGGTCAACTCTGAGGTGGATGCTCCGAGTGCATCAGCGACTGACATCTGGTTGGATGGATACGCCTCCGATTGAATGTTACGGAGGTAGGAAGATCGAAGAAGGAGCAGCATGCACGCCAGCACTGCATCTGCATCAGCAGCAGCAGCTCAGCGTCCAGATTCCTCAAGTCAAGCTCCGAGGCAGGCTACAACTGTGTCCAGGTGGAGGGAGCCTTGGAAGCAGCAGCCGCCGCCTACAGCTTGCACCTGGCAGGGCCTTGTGTTCTGCCCAGCAGTTGACGATGAGCTCGCTTGCGCGGGTTCTTGGAAGGTGAAACGCAGCATGCGGCCGGCACACCTTGAGAATGGCTGAGGAAGTGCCTGCGGATGAGGAGCTGTTCTACCATCAGAAAGGGGCAGAATTTCTTGGTATCAGCGGCTGATGTACTCCGTATTTCTTAATTCAACTTTATTTAAGTGAACTCAAGGAAGCAAAGCAGCCTTACTTTTGTCGAGCCCGTTTTCACCTCTGTGACAGAACAGAAGTTAATTAACAGGAATGAAGGAGCAACTGCACCATTTTGTTTCCCTTCACCAGAAGCACTAGTATATATACACCATATATGATGATGGAAACAAAATGACTGAATTTCCAGTGTCTTCTTATAGTAATCGGACAGTGCCGTTAACCTATGTCCATGTGATCGGCGAAGATGCTTCCAATTTGTATATTGCACAAACGCACATCCATGCCACCGCATGTGTGGAGGAATCACCAGACAGGATTTAAACAGCAGCTCGATTTTGTATGAGGCTGTTCAGAATATAATTTGCCTGTGTCTTGCAGGGAGCAAGCATTGGAGGTACAGCGCCAGTTTGCAGATAACAGGTGCCGCGCTGCAGGCGGGACGTCATTGTTGAATTCGTCGCCTTCTAAAGATGCCATTTTACCTCTGCATTCATAGGACAGGACAGGAGGTAAGGTAAGAAGATTCTGACTGGTTGCTTTTGTCTGGAGAATGCATGCCAAAACAAGCGCAAATCACTCTGTTTCCAATCTCCAATGCTTTGATGTTTAGTTTTTGGTTTGACAGAGTTTGTCCATGTATGTATGCTATTCATTCTCCCGGTCTCCAACATTTCATTCAAGCTGATTCTATTCAACAGTTGATAAACCTACTGACATATTTACCTAGTAATTTTGGTTTTTGGTTTGACAGATGTTGTTCATGATCCTCCAGCTGTCCCCTTTCCTAGATTCAATCTCTAATCTAAGCAGCCCTTTCTGGATTGGACGCAATTGGGGTTAAGACTAATCAGGACCGTTGCACGCTCAAGATAGCTGTAAACAGCAGGCTGGCACGCACGCATGGGACCCTAATGTCAACTTATCAGGAATGATTTACACGGGGATCGACAGAATCAAACCAGCACGGAGGAAGAAGCTTCTTCTTCTCCCCCACCGACGAGCACTGCCGGGGCCGACCAGTCCATGACAACCAGCCCCCTTGTGCAACCAAACACTGCAGAGATCTTCAGAGGCATCGATTAAATATTCAGACTGTCTTCTCTGTACCACTGAACAAACTGAAGAGACCAGTGAACATGAGCTGTCCGTCGTTTCAGGACCAATGATTCTGGCATCATTAACCTGCCGATCAATGATCCTGACATGATTAACCTGCTGATCATACGATTCTGACATTGTTAACCTGCTCGCCATACTACATAAATCGGTGGTGTTTTAGTGATTGCTCTTGTTAAGATCTCCATTTGGGAGCAGATCTTCCCCAGGGCCAGAGCCCAGAGCAAAGCATCCCGTGATGTTGTTCCAGTGTTTTGTATCTTGGTCATGCATCATCCGAGAGATTCCTCCGTGCAGCTGGCTCAGAGCCTCAAGACATATTTTTGCCGTTGGTTATTGCAAGAGGGCTTCGTTGACAATGGCACGATGAGCTACGCTGCACTGGGCTCATCAGGTGCAAAGTACATTTGGCACAGCTGGATGTACTTTTGCTGTACTTGTAATGACACTGCTGCTGTGAATCATGTGATCAACTTGTGCCTGCCTTTATATACTTTTCAGGTGAAACTGCAGAGTGTCAACTGTAGGGAACCAGATCAATCAATTTGATGATAGCTGCTTCAGTATCAGATGTTTTGTTTTCATCTTTGAAGGATATACTTGAACTATCCTCCAGCTTTTAAGAATTAAGCCACATTCGTGAACAGCTTAAATCTGTTCATTCATTGGACAATCTGTAACTAAAACTGCAATAAAAACGCCCCCAGTCTCAGACTGGCTAAATCATTCATTGACAAGGGGCTAAGAACGAAGATCATTCAGGGCAACATGGAGAATAAAACGATCAGGCTTCTGGAACATAACTAACAGAGCACACATTAATCAATAATAAGAGTAAAAAACTGGGGCGTCACCCATATTTATTTGGTACAGCTCATTTTTTAGTTCATACTTCATATGCCTTTGATTGACGTAGCACTTTAGCCCATCTTTTGATGACCTAAAGGACTAAATAAATGTGTTCCCTTACCAAATTTACTTGTACAGGTTATGTTCTTAGTTACCACATTTGTGTATTTTCATTTTTCAATGCATTCTAACGAGTAATGAAACTTCTGCTGAGTCATGTGACCCAACTTGAGCCTGCCTTTAATCAAGTTATTAAGATGAAGTTTCAGTGTCAAGTGTTGGGAACTCAATGAAATTGGTGATAACTGGTTCAGTATCAGATGAATGTTACAACTAAAGCCTGCTTCTAGTTGCAGATCAGTAAGAAAACTGTCTGTTTACAGGCCTGCTTCGGTGTAAACTGGTCCACTCCTACTTCGATATCCTTTTGACCTCAGTGTATGTCATCTTTTCCAACCTAAGTTTAGTCTCGATTAAACCTGAAACAGACCCCTAACGTCTCGTTTAGTGCCTGGGCGTCCAATAAAACTCTAGACACGTCTAGGCGGTGCATGTAGGTGTGAGGCAGTGCTTAAGCAGTGCAGAAACACGAAAAAAGGGGTGGCATGGCTGGCTTGGTGGGTTATATGTGACCGCACGGGCTGGCGGGCAGCAAAAAAGCATGCGGAAGAGCCAGGGAAAAGGGAAACATAACGTGTGGGGATCAAAATTACAAGTCCCTTCACCACTTCTTTGCAAGTTTGCAAGAATTGGAATCAAAATTCAGAATTGCCTGAATGTGTTACAATGTCTTCTGAGATCGAAGTTGGGAATCTAATCTTAGTCATACGTGTTGCCAGAAAAAAAAAAAATTAAAACAAATAAAAAGCACAAACACTTAATCGCGTTTAATCTATGTTTAATACATCTAGGCGCTAGGAAGTGGCCTAGCGCCTAACTAGCGCCTAGCGTCTTTTGGAACCTTGTTTCCAACTATGAATAACACTTGAAATACTCTCTAGTTTACAAGGATTATGCAAGATTCACCAAGAACAGTTGGAAATTGTTCATCTATTCAACAAACTGAATCTAAACAAGCAACTAAACGCCCCCAAGCCCGACTGGCAAAACAAGTCATCTGCACTAACTGGACAAGAATCAGCTCGATTGGAACACATATCATTCAGGGCAACATGGAACATAAACATTATTGGGCTTCTGCAGAGAACATATAATTGATAAGTGTACAAACCAGAAGATAGACCCATATTTATTTGACAAAGCTTTTAGCTAATGTTTTGGAATTCCTGTAGGTCCATAATTGGTATGTTGTTTGATATACCACTTTAGCACATTTTTCGGAGGCATTTATGCTGACCTTAATCACACTTTCAGCAGAAGTTTATATGGTAGAAATGTGAACACTTTCTTAGGCAAGTATTTCACAACATCCACTTGCAGCACTTCTATATTCTGAGTCTCACTCTCAAATCATCAGGGACCAAATAACCATAGTCATAAACTAACACTTTTCATGGTCATGAAATGAGATACCATCACAATGTTCATGAAAAGTAGGTCTCTTATGCGGTTAGGGAAAGAACGACGTGAATGTAGCCAGTACATTGTTCTAACAACCTAATCATACAAGTGGACCCAAAGAAGAGCACATCTTTTTCTGTTACTACTCATAAGATTGGGCATTGCAGCCATGCAAAGTTGTACTTGTTGAGGTGAATAAATGGCCCAATATTAATGAGGTTGACTGAATAACAAAAATTTGCACAATGATATGGACAATAATCTGGATATCAGAAATCAGAATAATCAGCATCTCAGTCTCTCCCATTTATTGCTTTTTTGCAACATGGCCATTCAATCAATATAAACGCATTCATGTCTCTAGATATACCTGAATACATTTAAAGGGCGTACCCAGTGCAGAGAGCGCCCGCTCTGTGCAGGGTCTGGAGAAGGGTGTCAGTGGCAAGCCTTACACTCACCTGTGCAATGCGAGGAGACCGCGACTTGAACCCGGGACCTTCCGGTCACAGGCAGTAAGACTCTACCGCTTGCACCAGGCCCGCCCTTCATATACTTGAATACATTTCCACCACAAAAATCAATTTCTTGGGAATGGTTTTGACTTTTGAGATACAAGTGACAAAACAATCAGTGGAGCAACCGAATGATCTGGTTGAAATTAAAAGTTCAGAAGGTTCATGTGCCTATGAAAACCCTTACCTCAGTGCATGCCAAAAATTTCTTCTGGAGGATCATAGATATGCCTTTCTGGGAACAACTCTTCAAAATCTTGCTTTACTCTATTTCTTAGCAATGGGTGAGGTAAAAGACCCTTCAACAATACCCTAAAAGGTAACTCTTCTGGTGGATCAGGTGATTTTTTCATGTCCTCATAAATATTCATTGCATCTGATGGGGAGCCATATCTCAAGAATCCTCTTATTACTTCGGCATAAGTCTGTGAGTCAGGAAACAAGTTCTCATCTCTCATGTTCCCCCAGATTACCATTGCTTCCTCCATCTTCTTGCATTTGGCTAGTGCAATAATCAAGTCTTTGTACATGTAAATATCTGGCTTATACCAGTCCTCCTTTTGTATGATCCTAAACATCTGATAAGCAAAGGTTTATAAACTAGTAAGGTCAACAAAGGCAAGCATCAGAAAATACCATTTCAAAATCGAATAAATGTGTACGGTGAAAATGCCATTATGTTTAGAGAAAGAATTTAGTACTCGGTATATAAACCTTTGTTGCAAACTATTCCACTGAAATGATGAGAATACCATTTCACGAATTTAGTGTTCCATGGAATGATGGAAATGATGAACTTAGTTAAACCCTGTGATATTACAATGTTCTTTTTGCAGCATAGATCACAATATTCTATCTTAAGAAATACATGCATTCACTTCATTAAAAATTTATCACTTGAAAACATACTCAGCCTGTTGCCTAAATTTTTATTCAGATTAGACACATCTGCCTCAGAAAGTGGAGAAAAAGAGAGAAAATACTAGCACAGACATGAATGTACTATGAGAATTTAACACGTTTCAATAGGAAAACAAATGTAATTGACAATAAGGTAAATAATTCTGGAGATCGCAGATATATCTCAAGAAAGACCAGATCAAACTATCCATTGTTTAAGCCATGGTTTTAGTTTCTCTTGATCAATCACAAAGAACATAATCAAAAGCTAATGTTCACCTTCTTAGAGCAAACATTTGTGCCAATCTTGCCTGACCAATTAACCAACATTAAAGGCGCGTAGTCCTAAATAACACTACTTCTCACACTTATTAGTGGTTCACCCTTTCCAAGCAATCCCACAAGTATTTCGGTAAACAAATCACCAAATACAAATCTAACAAAACTATGCCCTCTTTGATCAAGTAAATTCATGTTTGCAAATCCCTTTGGGCTTTGGGTCAACATTTTCTCCACATCACCTCTCCAATTTCTTCGAGCTTCATGTCTATCAGTAGTAGCAAACAATAAGCAATCCAGCCAAAGTGCGAACATGGCACAACCCGTATTTTAATCTCCTATAACTCGCTATATGCCACGAAACACATCCTCCCAGTGAATTAAAATGACGGTTTGAGCAAAATCAAGCTCCAGAATAGCCCTTTACGCAAGAGATCGCCCAAATGGTTAAGAATTAGGGGGGAAATGCCACACCTTGACGGCCAGGTCGACCTCCTCCTGGCGTCCCAGCTCGCCGAGCACGGCGAGCTTATCCGCCTTGAGCAGTCTGGCCACATACCGCCGCACGAAATCCGCCAGCTTCTCCTCATCCCCCTTGAACCGCTTGAGGCCCTGGATCGCGAAGAGGGCCTCCTTCCCGATCAGCTTCTTGCTCCGCCACAGCGGCCCTCGTGGCCGCCCATCGTGGAACGCGCGCCGCCACGCGCCGCCGGTTGACGGCGTTGGCCACCGAGAGGGGAAGAGGCCGTGGGCGGAGGAAGAGGAGGAGGGAGAGAAGGGTTGCGGTAGGAATTTGGGGCCCCGGCTGCGGAAGTGGAGGAGCAGGCGAGTTAGGCGTGCTCGAGGGGTCGCCATGGCGGCGGCAAAAACCCTCGTCGTCTTGTCCGTTGGGTTCGTTGGGTAGCCGAGCCGAGGAGGCGAGAGGACTGCGAGACGCCGAGACGGGTGTTTTTATTTTTATTTTCATTTTTGGAACTGTAGCGGTCCGGACGTCTACGTGAACCGCGCCTTCTGTTCGCACCTGCTTTTCACGTGCCCACCTGGGGCCGTGCCCATGGGACCGCTGGCGACCTGCAAACGCCTGCAAACGCCGCTCCTCGCGTCTGGATGGACGGTCGCGCAGCCAGCCCCGCCTCGCACGCACACCTTGCCCTCGTCGTTGCGCCCCGCTCATTCCCTCGAACCCTCTTCTCTCTCTCCGCATGGACGGTACTCGGGAGCCGGGCCTAGCTTGCTGCGCCCCCATCCGTCGGGCCCAGCGCCTCATCCCCGACGCCTGGCCGTGCTCCCATCACTCATCGTGCCACCGTGAAATACTTGTAACTTAAACGCTTAGATGCAACTTACACCGGACATAGATAAAATATTTGAAACATACTGTTACAACATATGTGTGAAATATATGCAACATTTGGATAAAACAATTCCAACATGTGTGTAAAATATATGAAACATCCAGATAAAACATTTACAACATGTGTGAAACATATGTAACATCCAAATAAAACACTTGTTACAACATACGTCTTGTCGGTGCAGAAAGTGATCAACACGTAAATATTTATAGTTTTGCTGTACGTTGTGATCGGAGGTGGCCTAACACTCAATGACACATGATTTATACTGGTTCAGGCAACGTGCCCTACATCCAGTTTGAGTCAGTCGATGACTTTATTCCTGAGCCCAGGTACTTGAAGTTTGCTGTGGGGTTACAAACGGAAGGGAGAAAGATAGGGTACAAGAGGTCCGGGCAGACTCTGGCCTGAAGGTACGAGAGTGATGGGAGCTCCGCTATGTGCTAAGTGTTCGAGCGTGTGCTCTGTATAACTTTAGAGTGTCTAAAGTTACAGAGGGTGAATTAATGTAAGTGAACTGATCGATCTATCTATTAGGAGAGAGCGCATCTCCTTTTACCGATGAAGGGGATGGCCTTACAAATAAGAGGGAGAGAGTGTACGTATACTAAGTCTTGTTGCCCACGCCGTCGGGTACAAGATGATTGTAGGCGCCCATAACACTGTTAATGTCAGATGCATGTGGGAGGTTGCGTCGTGTTCTTCTGGTATGACAGACGTCGGTGCCTGCCATACTGTTGATGCCGAGAGGCATGCAGGGGGTTTTACCATGTTCGTCTGGTACGGTAAATGCCGACGCCCACAACACTTTTGATGCCCAAAGATATGTGGGGGAGCCTTACTGTGTTTGTCTGATATGGGAGTTTGATGGCGCCTACAACACTGTAGAAAAAATATCGACGCCTACAACACTACTTGGGAAGGTCGCATGGTACTGTTCTACAGGTGTACAGGGTACGATTCTTGGTATTGCGGTTGACTTGAGCGCACTCCCTTACTTTCTTCATCCATTTCCTAGTCCTTACCGAGCGGGAGTCCTCGGTCGGTTGGTCTCAGTCGGCTTTGATTGCGCTAGTTGGAGAAGAGCTGTGAGCAAAGGTTCGGCGCATCCCCGGTCAGGGACGCGGGTCGGAGTCAAAAGTGGTGTTTAGCTGGGCCTTCCGGTCGGAGAGGCCGTCCAAAGGTGGGCCAGAGTCGAAAGCGAGGCCTTCCGGTCGGAGAGGCGGGCCAGAGTCAGAAGTGGGCGCCGTTCCTTCTCGGCCAGGCCTTCTGGTCGGAGACTGGATCGCCCTTCTGTCGTGTCGTTTTAGGTATTTGGGCCAGCCCAGGAGTTGTGCGTCGTTCGCAATGTCGTCTGCTAGGCTGAGCCTCTGCTGGGAAGCCGGTCCATGAGGAACCCCGGGTTTATAAACCCGACAGGAGGCCTCGAGCCCCCGGACGATTCGGGTAGAATCGTCTGGGTGGTTTCGTGTTGCCAGCGGGGGAAATTCTGTTTCGTCAGCGGGTGCGCGCGAGCGCACCTGCGGGTGTAGCCCTCGAGCCTCCGGGTGGTTCGGTCAGAATCGCCTGGGGGGTTTTGTCAGTGGGCGTGTGTGCGTGCCTTTTAGTGGAGACAGAGTCGTCAACCAAGGTGCCGTGCGCAGCCGAGGTGGTTTCTTAGAGATCGAGCGAGACGGAGCTCATGGATCCTAGCGTCGGGCGCCGCCGAGGGATCGAGCAAGGCGGACTCACGAACCCGTCGTGCCAGCCGAGGCGGTTTTTTAGGATCGAGCGAGATAGAGCTCGTGGATCCTTACGTCGGGCGCAGCCGAGGGATCGGGCGAGGTGGACCCGTCGTGCGCAGCCGAGGCAGTGTTTTAGGGATCGGGCGAGATAGAGCTTACGGATCCTTGCGTCGAGCGCAGCCGAGGGATCGGGCGAGGCAGACTCGTGGACCCATCGTGCGCAACTGAGGTGGTTTTTTAGGGATCGGACGAGACGGAGCTCACGGATCCTGGCGTCGAGCGTCGCCGAGGGATCGGGCGAGGCGAACTCACAGACCCGTCGTGCTCAGCTGAGGCAGTTGTTTAGGGATCGAGCGAGACGGAGCTCGCAGATCCTGGCATCGGGTGCAGCCGAGGGATCGGGCGAGGTGGACTCGCGGACCCGTCGTGTGCAGCTGAGGCAGTTGTTTAGGGATCGACGAGACGGAGCTCGCGGATCCTGGCGTTGGGCGCACCCGAGGGATCGGGTGAGGCGGACTCGTGGACTTGTCGTGTGTAGCCGAGGCAGTTTTAGGTGTCTTGAGCCCTTGAGCCCTGTTGGGCTTGGTAGGGATTGATTAAGTTTTGTGCGTTACCCCATCCGTGGTTTCTCGCAGCCGGAGGGGCTGAGCTAACATCGCTTGCCTCAATGGCTCAGGCTCGAGTGACGCACTCAGTGAGCTCGCTAACGGGTATGATCGAGTGAAATCTAGATCCGTCGTTCGTGACGAGGTTGGCATAGCCCTCATTTGACATTCTACTGCTCCTTAACCTATAACCCGGTAGATGCCTGGGTCGTTTCGGAGACTGACCCGGGTGGCCCGCTGGGCTCCCCTCGATGGAGATTCTATGGGTTTGATAGAGGTTTAGGATCGAACGAGAAGGTTGAGATGACCCTGCCTGCTTTGGGGCAGACTGGGCGAGGGCCACTCGGGGCTCATCTGCATTTTCTCCCCTAGCTCTGTTTGACGTGAGGCGGCCTCGAGCCCTTCGTGGGCCGGCCTTCGAACCCCGGTCAGTCGTCGCTCATGTTGAATGAGGCAACTGCCGCTTCATGACGCAACACGGAGCGTTGTGATGCATTTAACTACATATGTGATGCCTCGGATGTATTGAATGAATGAATGTGTGTATAGATGAATGAATGATTATATAAAAATAGTGGGGTTGGTAATGTTACCTTGGTGACTCGAGTGACGGGGTTTGAAGAGCTCCAATCGGAAATGTCTAATCGGGATTCGAACTCGTCGTTCGTGATGGAGTCGGCATGGCCCACATGGGGAGTCCCCTCACTCCTTACCTGTCTCTCGACGTTTTGCCTGAGCCATCCGATCGACTCAGGAAGCCCGATGGTCTCTCCTAGGCGGAGATCCCACAGTTTGGCCTTTCCAAGTCCCACCTGGGAAGGCGGAGAGCCGCCTGCACGTGGTGGCGCTTTGTTTCTCATGCCCGGTCATGCGGTAGTGGTGGTCCATACCCAGGCCACGTCCTATCTGACCAGGCGCCATTCCGTCGGGCAGAGTGCGTCCCATCGGTCAGGACGCGTCCCGTCGTTTCCCATCCACATTGAATGGGGGAAGGGAGAGGGTTTCTCGCCCCAATCCTTTCACCTTTCCTCAACTGTTCCACCTCTTCTTTAAATAGGGGAAGGGAGAAGGAAAGGAGAACTCACAGACCCGTTCGTGATTCTGGAGCGTGATGTTGAGTTGGAGGTCCCCCAACGTAGATGAGATGGTGCTGGCCGCCTTCGCCGAGAAGGGGCTGCTTCTACCGAAGGAGGTGGCGCACTAGAGGGTGTCGTATGTCGCCGGCTTCATCACCGTCTGTGAGGCCTTCGTCCGGATTGAGCCATACGTGGACTCCTTCCGGTGAATCTTCTCCGGACGAGCCTTGTCGGAGGGGAAGACGCTCAGGACTGCGTCAGTGGGAGGTTTCGCCCCTGCAGCTGCTTAGGTTGGTCAGTTCATAAAGTTTGATGAGACATCCTCCAGTCATGGCGGCCATACTTCGGCGGGCAGCGTCCCTGCCCAGGAGCTGCCTCGACTACATGAGAAAGTCAGGAGCTCCATGCTCTTCTATTGAGCATCTATGGGTGCGACGCCCTTGAGGTACCCGTTGCGCTCGCCGAAGTCGAGGGAGCGGAACCGGGCGGGGCCCTTGCGGCGGTGGTTGTGTTCGATGGCATGTGCCATGGCCTCTCCTTTGGCATCAGTTGATGCCACCGAGCGGCCACAGTAGTATTTGGAGTAGAAGTAGTCGGCAAATGTAATCGTTAAGTTCGTGGGGGAGCCCCATTATGAATAGTTTTTGTATCAATGAATACATCAGTTCTATTTTATCCGTTCCTTGTTTTTTATCCTAGCATAGCTCTATTTTTATCCTTTCTTTTTTGTACCTGCCCGTTCGTTCCGTAGGCTGCAACTTTTAAGAAACTGGGCATGGGCCGCGAGGCTCGGCTGCTCGTAACCATATGTCATGGTGGGGTGCGCTCGGTTGGGAGTAAAAACAAAGTCACATAGGGTAATCAAAGGAATGGAATGCACTTTCGATCGGGCAAAAAGTTTTTACCATGTGATAGTAAAAAAGAGAGGTAGTATTTAATATTGTACCCTCATGGAGCCCCCGAGTGACCCGAGCTAAAAGTATTTGGGCTAGGGTGCTTTATAGGAGCAAGTGTTGAATAAAAGCGGTAAGACCAAATTTAGGGAGAAAAGCGACGTAGCTGTTCAATGTTCCAAGTGTTGGTGAGAATGTTGCC